GATTTTAAAAAGTTCAAATATTTATCTGGAATGCTATCACCTCTACTGGCCTTGTTGTTAGCCATGCTTTCTAAGGCCCAATTGACTTCACTCTCCAGGATGTCTGGCTCAAGGTCAGCAACCACACTATCTGGGTTGTCTAGGACATCCAGATCTATCTGGTATAATTCCTCTGTCTATTCATGCCACCTCTTCTTGATGTCTTCTGCTTCTGTGAGGTCCCTACCATTTTTGTCCTTTATCATGTCCATCCTTCCACAAAATGTTCCTTTAATATCTCCAATTTTCTTGAACAGATCTCTGGTTTTCCCCTTTCTATTATTTTCCTCTATATCTTTGCACTGTTCATTTAAGAAGGCCCTCTTGTCTCTCCTTGCTATTCTTTGGAAGTCTGCATTCAGTGTTCTGTAGCTTTCCCCATCTCCCTTGCATTTTGTTTCCCTTCTCTTATCTGCTATTTGTAAGGCCTCATTGGACAGCCACTTTGCTTTCTTGCATTTCCATTTCTTTGGGATGGTTTTTGTTGCTGCCTCCTTACAATGTTATGAACCTCCATCCATAGTTCTTCAGGCACTCTGTCCACCAAATTGAGTTCCTTAATTCTATTCTTCACTTCCACTGTGTATTCATAAGGGATTTTGTTTAGAGTACACCTGACTATCCCAGTGGTTTTTCCTACATTCTTCAGTTTAAGCTTGAGTTTTGCTATAAGAAGCTGATGATCAGAGCCATAATCAGCTCTAGGCCTTGTTTTTGCTTCTCTATCTTTGGCTGCAGAGAATATAATCAATCTCATTTCAGTATTGCCCATCTGGTAATGTCCATGTATAGAGTCGCCTCTTATGTTGTTGGAAAACCGTGTTTGTTCTCTTGACAAAACTCTATTATATTTATCTGGAATGCTATCACCTCTACTGGCCTTGTTGTTAACCATGCTTTCTAAGGCCCAATTGACTTCACTCTCCAGGATGTCTGGCTCAAGGTCAGCAACCACACTATCTGGGTTGTCTAGGACATCCAGATCTATCTGGTATAATTCCTCTGTCTATTCATGCCACTTCTTCTTGATGTCTTCTGCTTCTGTGAGGTCCCTACCATTTTTGTCCTTTATCATGTCCATCTTTCCACCTTTCTGTTAGCACTATAATGCCTTACTGCACTGCTGGGCAACTTCCTTTCTGTTGAGGGATGCATTCCCCTACAGGCTGAAGTCAATGATCAGGAAGTACAGAAGCAACAATGACTGTGACCACCTTTTTTTCTCTTCCTTATCCTCTTATTCCTTATTTCTTCCTGCCTGCGATGCCCAGGATGTCGATGTTTATTCTTGCCATCTCCTGTTCGAACCTTGGTAAGCTGGTTGTGGTCATAGATCTTACATTCCAAGTTCCTATGCAGTATTTTTCTTTGCAGCATCAAACTTTCCTTCCACTTCCAGGCGCGTTCGTAGCTGAACGTCCTTTCTGCTTTGGCCCAACCACGTCATTAGCTCTGGAGCTATTTGTCCTTGTCCTCCACTCTTCCTCAGTACCATGTTGGAGGCCTTCCAACCTTAGGGGCATCATATCTTTTAGCCTTTTGATTCTGTCCATGAAGTTTTCTTGGCAGAGATACTGGAGTGGCTTGCCACTTCCTGCTCCAGGTGGATCGTGTTTAGTCAGAACTCTCCACTATGACCTGTCTGCCTTCGGTGCATAGCATAGCCAATAGCTTCTATGAATTACGCAAGCCCCTTCACTACGACAAGGCAGCAATCCATGAAGGGGAATGAGCTTTAGGCATGGGTAATAATAATAAGTAGATTTTATATTCTCCTACCAGCCCCAAACATTTTGCTGATTTAGGCAGAGCAGTAAATGGTCTAAAGAAAACTCAGGCGGGCACTTTGCAATTTCAGTGACATGAGACATGTAGCATATTTTGCCTTTTAGCCATAAATTTGGATAATATATGAGCCATTGTTCTCTGATAATGGAACCAATCCAATGAAGAACATTTCTACTCGTCTCCCAGCAAAACCAGTGCCAGAGCACTCTGAGATATTCCAGGGTGGGTTTTCAGGAAGCACAGTTGAATGCCAGAGAGGAGAAAAAAACTCAGTGCCTGCAAAAGTGTACTAATACAACATGTATATATTCTGTTAGCACTATAATGCCTTACTGCAATGGTGAGCAACTTCCTTTCTGTTGAGGGCTGCATTCCCTTACAGGCTGAAGACAGTGATCAGGAGGTACAGAAGCAACAATGACTACGACCACCTTTTTTCTCTTCCTTTTCCTCTTATTCCTTATTTCTTCCTGCCTGCTTTTCTCTCCTTCTTCCTAGTTTTTTTTTTTTCTTCTTGTTCTTTCCTGCCCAAAAGGGCTGCCAAAGAAGGGAAAGATCTCTTGTGAAAGAATTGATTGCTTGCACTGGGTTTTTAAAATTAGAAATGAAGGTCTATTCGCCACTATGAATTGAATACTAATTCAGTCCAGATAAATCTAGACTGCCTCTGATTTGCTCTCAGCCCCAAATCTGGATTGATTCAGAAGTTTGGATAATCCCCTATTGATTTACACTAGAAAACAATAATGTCTCTCTATATATTTCTCACCCCTTACCAACCACCTCCATCCCAAAGATGAAGCCCAAATTTCAATCAGCACAACTACATTCTCAGAAACCTTTAAATATGACTAGCTATTTGAAGCAGATAACTTTAAGAGCCTCACATAATTCCTACTGTAAGCACTGTGATTGGAGAGTGCTGGTGAGATCCTTGCATCTGGTTTCATGTTAGACAGTTCAAAGGGCAAAATCAGATCCCATCCCAATCATACCCTTATTGGAGGCACATTTTCCCCAGCACTTCTACACATCTGAGTCTCTAAATCAGTCCAAAATGCTCCAGATCCTTTTGCTGCTCTCCAGAATGGCATCAGACATTCTGCTTCAAGCTGAACTTCATATGAATTGGTCCAGATTGGGTTGATTTGGTTCAAGACTTGGAGTTCAGCACAGCCACTGCACAGTTCAATTAAAATTAGGGTGGGAGCCACATGAAGGCATTGGGCTGCAGGATGCTCACTCTTTACAATCTCACTTCGGGAGAAAAACCATGGGATCTACAAAAAACCAACAACAACCACAAAAAACTTGCTGATTGTTTGTTTTCTCAGCCAAAAGGAAGCAATTCTGGGATTTTCCAAAACTGCACTGTGAAAACAGAGTGGTTTAAACAACAACAATAAGAGAATGATTACTTCTGGGAGGTGGGATAAGTGATTTCAATAGAAGTCATGGAGAAAAAGCCAAACTCTGTCATTGTGCCGCTGCCAAATGAACAAGCAACACTGAAACGTGACTCTTTTTCTCAATGGGACCCTTGCAGAAAATTAGTCCTGTTTGTCTTTTCAGTATCTACTGAACATAAGCAGAAATTACTGTAGCTGTCCATGAAACGTATTAGTCCCTCTGTTTTATTAATCCCTCTCATCCCCATTTCAATTGCTGGAGCAAGGAAAAAAGAAAACACTAATTTGAAATGCTGATGTTGGCCTGCATTTGAACTGTGAGATAGCTGAATGTTTGGCATTCAAAGTTTTGTCTTGTGAAAATTAAATGTGTTGAAAATACCTATTTTGTACTGCTTTGAAAGTTCAGAATAAGCACAAGAGAACTTTTTATCAAAAGAAAAAAATGTGCTGAATGATAGTGGCAACAATGCTGAATATTTACATGTAACACATTCGATTAGTGTTTTATACTGAATTAGTAAATTAGCTGGAGCAAACAGACAGCATTTTTGTTTAATAAGAGTGCAGGTTGTATAGAAGATCAGCAAAGCAGCATTAAAAAGTTGTATTCAAGTTCTCCAGAACTCATACTCAGTCTGGCCTTACAGAACTTAGAAATGAGGGGAGAGTAAGAAGAAAAGCCAAGTTGAAAAATCATTCTGTCACACAATGAAGTCACACAATGTGAAGCTAGACTGAACTCCCAAGATGGAGACAAGAGGCTTGACAAGTCAGTATGAGGTGATTTTCTCCATCTCTATAGCTCCACCAACTCTCCATTGCTGGAGGCATTCAAGACAAAATTGGACAACCTGTTGAGAATTTTGATTATAACGTGTATTCTCATAACATCATCAGAGTAAGGAGATAATGGTTAGCAGAGATACTTATGACACTATGACTCTGAGAGTAAAACCAACAACTTAATCTATTTACATATATACACAGAAAATAGACATTTAGCTGGCAGCATAACATGACACGAAGCAACACACAACATAGGAAAAAGTGATCTGACTTACAGCAGATAAAAACGTTCATTTTACACATGAACAGTTATGTACAGTTCTGGGACCAATTAGAAAATACATTACTTCATTTTCTGTTACACCAAGTTTCATCATGTACACAGCTGTACAACATTAAGTCTTAATCCTTGATACCCACACCTGAATACAATTAGTACAGTGACTCAGGTAAAATCAGCCATTTTACATTTAACTATACAACATTAATATTTAATACATTTTCGTATCACAATCTCAACACAACCATCTGCCAGATATACTTTGATTTGGATTCTTGCACTGAGCAGGGGTTGGACTCAATGGCCTTATAGGCCTTTCCCAACTCAATAATTCTTTGATTTTATGATTCATTTGGATCCCAGGCTTCTACACTAGCTTGAAACAGAAGCACTAAACAATTGCATCAGTAAAGCTGGAGATTAAATGTAGATGGTGGCACTGACAAATTTACACTTCCCTGTATTTCCATTTGTTCAGTGTGGCTTTCAACCTTGTGTTTGAGTTTCTTCTGTATAAGCCCTAGCAATATGACTTACTGCCAAGGGAAATGTCTCACATGAAGCTTTACTATCTGTTTAAAGAGACTATAGCTTTTAGAGGGTGCTAATCAGAACGTATGGGTAGCATCTGGTGAACTATGTGATAAAGAGTTCCAGTGTGGCCTGTTGACTTAAGAGAGCATGAAGGAGTAATTTCATGGCCAATAAAGCCTTCTCTTAAGGAGGTCTTACATGGAAAGGGACATTGGCTTTCTTTTACAAGTCATACAGAGATGATGCTTAGTGATCTGTTAACACATGGTAAGAAGTCTCCTCCTTCTGGACTTGTATAATAATTTAATTTCCAGTTTCAGGTGGAAACCATGATCATGAACAGGAAGAGCATCAATCCAACTTTTTCTCAAATTGTTTCTTTTAATACTGGAGCAGATATCTTGGTCCTAGTATTTATATTTATTTTGATTTCTTTTCTTACATGCACTTTCATTCCTCTTTCTCCTTAAAGAGTGATTCTTTTAATTCTCCCCTTTAATCATGCCATACTGTCAGTGTATATGTAGCACCAGAGCTAGGTTTTTCTTTGTTTCTTCAGGCACAGCAGTAACTGGGTCTCTTTTCTTGCTATGAGGTGCACAGAACCCAAGACCAAAGTCCATGGACACCTGAGAGAGAGAGGATCCCCTTCTCTGGTGATACCAAAGAAAATCACTAGCCATTTGTTGCCCCCAAATCTGCCACCTAAGGCAAATTTGGTAGGGACAGCCCCATGTGCCACTTTCCAGCAGATTGACAAAAGGTGGTGGTGGTGGGTGGGGCAGACAGGATAGTTGCTGGCTGAAGACACTCTGAAGGTACAGGTCTCTAGGGACTAGACGTGGGGTGGAAGATCAACTGTCTTGCCTTATTTGACCTCCCATGCTTTTCACATATGTTCATGAGCAAAGGAAACATGAAGGACGTCTCTAGTGCTTTCTCACTGAGATGAAATTGAACCCAGAGAGCATGGCTCTTTGAACTGCTCCTAACTTGTGGAAATGCAACCTTCCACTCTCCTAAGGAAGCCCCAGGTCTCTTCTTTCATCACAAAAAGATGATGTAGGATGTAATATGTGCAGGCACCTTTGTATTTTTGCTCTGATAGTCTCTTGAGAAATATACTGACTCCCCCCGCCCTTTCTCTTCTATTAACCTCCTGGTAATATTTTAATCCAGGCTTCATCTTGAGCTGCTAGGATCCAGGACAACTATACACTGCTGACTTATCGCTTGGGGAAAATAATCCTGCCTTGGCCACTTAAAAAGCTTATAGGGAAACAAGCAGAAAGATTAAATGGCTGTAATTGCTGGAGTTTGTTTAATAGGGAGCCATTTATTCTAGCTAGAGAGAATACAATGTATGCTTTGGGAGGAACAATTTAAGTACCGTTATTCCAAGTTTGCCCTACTTTTAATACAATTGTATGCAGACTATGATCATTCTTCTGTAGCAAAGGCATGGTGCCTGTTACAGAGTATGTGTTACTGTTTCCTTTAAATCCCTCTCAGCAAGTAGCTGTGCTACCTTGCAGAGGTTGACTTCAAATGCCATTTTTTTTAAAAGGGGGTATTCAAGGTGTGTGTTAGCATATTTTAAGTAAAGCTCCAAACGTGTTTGGACATGCCTACCTGAAGGGTCTACTGCAATATGAACTCCTCCAAGCTTTCAGTTGCTGTGCCTCCTTGTCCTTGTAATTGTCTTCACAGTTGGGCAACGCAAGAGAAAGTGGAACTCCCTTGTCCCAAGAAGTTAGACTGGGGTTGGGGAACATGTTTCTGGATTGCAAATCCCATCAGCTCCAGGCTGAGACAGTCATGGTGAAGAATGATGGGAGGTATGGTCTGACATCTGGAGATCCACATCCTGGGTTATCCCATCATTCTCTTTATCTCTGTTCTGCTCCATTCTTCTTAAATAAATAATTTTTAGCATTTGTACTATAGGAGCTGTACTGGATTGACAGAACCATGGGAAGCAGTGGAGTTATGGAACTGTGCAGAGGATTTTATCTTGAACTACAAAGAGCTATGGTAGATTACTCCCATGGTCAAAGCCATTGATTCTCAACCTTGGGTCCCTAGATGTTCTTGGACTGTAACTCCCAGAAGCCTTCACCACTAGCTGTGCTGGCCAAGATTTCTGGGAGTTGTAGTCCAAAAACATCTGGGGATCCAAGATTGAGAACCATTGGCCTAAGTGGCCTAATATTCAGGTCCCATAATGGCCAACTGCCTGTTTATAACATTATAAGGTTATAGAGACCTATAAGATATGGGTATATCACTTCCTTTGCTTTACTGTGAACATGGTAGGGCAGACTAGAAGACTGGATTTCTTGCAAGCTTGCAAACATTGTTTCTGATCCTATGGTGCTTTTTAGTTTAATGTCCCGGTTTGTTGCCATGTAACTCTAATGGGAAGAATGCTTGAGTCTCCAACAGTAATGAGAAGATGGAATCCATTTCTGGGCTGGAATTAATGAGGACACTTTGAAGATAAGGCATGTGCAGTAACTAGCTCTTAAAAAAACCTGTTAAAATATTTAAAAGAACATTTAAAAATACTTGTGTAAGAAATAATGCAGACAATCAATAATTTTAAAATGTTTCCCATTAATATACGCATTACTTTACATTTTAATATTTCTTTTCTTGTCTTCACCTGATCTTGTATTATGGCAAGAATTTTTTTTCCTTTCCATTTCTTTCGTTCTATTTCATTTTTGAATATGTACTAAAAGAGATGGATATAAATGTTCCAGGGTCTTCTAAGCTATGTTGCTTCAAAGCATAATACGAGGTGCCAATTTAAACGTGAAATGGCAGGGTTACATTTCCTTATCTTGTACTGGTATTTAGGTTGAACCTACAGGTGCTGCAGGGGGGAAAGGTGGAACAAATGAAAAGCCAGAGAAGAGAATAATTAAACATGGAGTCTAACCATCGAGCCATGCAGAACTAGTCTTTAAATGTGATACATTCTTAACAGACCCAGTAACGATACACCAACGAGAGTGTGTGAAAAGTTTAAATGCTGTACAGACTATAAACTTTGGGAAAGGACTTGAGGGAGCAGTTCTTTTCTCTTGGGGTACCTTGGATATGGTTGTAAGAGTTGGTTTTCTATTCCATGTTGATATTCTGACCCTGAAGCCTGCTCTCAAGATGGGGAGAGAAAGGGACCAATTTTGTTCTCTTGAGTTTTAGCTAGATTTTCCTATTTCAACACCACTTTTCTTCAAGCTTTGAATATTCTTGCCTTAAAAGTCGAACCAGTTCCCTTTTGAATTTTCTGTTAAACTTTTTATTAGAAGCTTTTGTTATTTTGCCTTCCTGAATTTTCTTAGCTTCTAGGAATGGTTTTTTGAAACACCTTGTAAGCTTTTGTCTACAGAATCTTTTTTGAACCATTTGTGGGCTTTTAGAATCTTGAACTCTCCACTGCATTGGTAAATGTATTTATTAAGAGGAATTTCCAATGCTAATTTAGCTGGAGTGGAGGAAATACTAGATTATAGTGGGTTTTGATATTTAATGCACTTTTTCTTGCATTATATTAAGGCAGTGGGCTGGTGGAGAATGTCAGGACATTTCATAGTTGTTTTTCCTTCCACTTAAAATATTTACTTTTACTTAATATACATCCATTTTATGCTGTGTTCATTTCTACATTCTTGCATTTCTGATAATACCATTAATCCCTGTTTCTTACTAATCTCAGTTTAACACTGTGAGCAACCTTGAATCCCCTTATTGTGAGAAAGGCAGTCTATAAATAAGACAAAAAAACATAACTGTTTCCTTTACTATACTTCAAAAATTATTGACTTTGTAATCTTCATACCTGATTTATTAGCTGTGCTTTATGCATTATTATTACTATAATTTTGAATGCAAAGTAATTTTTTATTTTGTTTTCACTTCTTATCAACGTACATAATTTTTCACCATTTTGTCTAGTATTTCAATATACAGTACTCTGTGTGGGCCTACTTTTATGTTGGTCTTTCTATTCATTGGGGCCTAATGGTCACGTTCCATAAACTCACTGGAGTAAAATATTGGGTATAAAAGAACCCAAAAAGAGAACCCAGTTTTCAGCAGCAATTGTAATGACTACCAATGTAGCTTAAAGAAGAAAATGCACAAGCAGAATGTAAGTTGAATACTAAGAAGGCAAAATAATTATAGCAGAACCACGTAAATTTAATATTGACAATGGAGAAATAATAACTGACAAATTTTCTGTACCCTTTGTACCGTATACCTGATCATCAGTGTAAACAAAGATGACAGCAAAAAAGAAAAAAGGAAAAAAAAAGAAAAAGAAAAAGAAAAAAGAAAAAAGAAAAAAGAAAAGAAAAGAAAAAATCAGAAGAAGGCTCTGACTTGCAAGGGTAGCTGTGGCGGAACTAGACATAAGGATATATCTGTCTTCACTGATATATCCTTATGTCTAGTTCCCCCACAACTACCCTTGCAAGGTCACCCACACTATTATATCTTCCATTACTATATAAACAGATGTAAAACCTGGACAGTGAAGAAAGTAGAGAAAAGGAGAAATTGTTCATTTGAAATTTGATGTTGGAGGAGAGCTGCACAGGTACCAAGTACAGTGGGGTCTTGACTTAAGAACGGCTCGAGATAAGAACATTTTGACTTAAGAATCGCTCTCATAGGAAAATATTGATTTGACTTACATACTTAGATTTGAGTTAAGAACTGAAAAAAACCCACGTGGGAGGCAGGGAAAGTGCAAAATTTGAACTTTCAGTTAACTGTTGGCCAGTGAAAAGGGTGCCTGGCTGCTTCCTCACTCCTCCCAGCGTTTAGAGAGGGGATTGGGAGACAGTCTTCAGACTGCCTGGTACTGCCTGGACTGTATTTTCCCTGCCTTCCCTGAACCTTTCTTGACCTAAGAAAAAAAGAAACAAAATATCCCCCTCTAGTGGTCGAAGGCAGAATAGCAGCTTCCCATTAGTTTCTATGGACGGAAAAGAGCAGATACGGATCAAATGGTTTTCAATGCATTCCTATGGGAAATGCAGATTTGACCTGAGAACTTTTTGACTTGAGAACCGCCTTCCAATATGGATTAAGTTCTCAAATCAAGACCCCACTGTACTGTCTGAAAGAAAATAAATGAGTTCTAGATCAAGCCAAGTTCTAGATCTCTCACTAGAAGAAAAAAATTAACTGAAGCTATTGCACTTTGGACTTACCATGAAAAGATGAGGCACAATGGGAAGGGTATAATACTA